GCAATTGTTCACCTCCCAAGCTGACATCTGCTAATGACTTCCAAAATCATTTGATTATCTCTAAACAGAACAGCAAACGTTTTGTATATAGGAAGCTATTTTTCCATGTATCTCCATAAGGGAGAGTTTTTTACTGAAGTTTATCTCATTTATATTACTAGACTTAGTCAGCCAATTCCTGGAGAGAACATCATTTACTGCTGCGTGTTCACCCTGCTCCTTCTCTACTAGCTTTTCAGTGCCAGTTGAGTCCATGCATCACTTTGGGGCTTTGTGTTCTCCCTTTCAATTGATTCCTGGTCATTTTCTGGGTTTTTAGTTGCTGGCTTACAGTTGTTTGTTTTAAGCAACTGCTATTCTGGCCTGCTTGCTTTCATTGCCGACTTGCTTCTGACCTCAATTCAGGGTGCTGGCTTTAAGCTATAAGGCCTTATGCAGCTTAGAGCCAAAATCCTTGACAGATGCCTCTCCTGGCCACAACCTACCTTTTATATTGTTATTTATTTTATATTAATTTTATATTGTTATTTATGTATTTTATTTGTGCTGTGAGCCGCCCCGAGGCTTCGGCAAGGGGTGGCATAGAAATGTTTTAATAAATAAATAAATAAATAAATAAATAAATAAATAAATAAATAAATAAAATGCCATGATCCACATCTGGGGATGTCCTCCGTGTGCCAGTTGCGAGAGAGGCTTGGAGAGGCATTCACAAAGATGGCTCTGTAACTATGGAAGGGTCTCACTGGCCACCAATTTTGTCATCCCGCTGGTGCCAGGTTGTCACCCTTTGGGCTCTGTGCCGAGGCATTTCAAGATATGTAAGGGTTAGCTAAAAACTGGAATGGCTGACCTGTGTCTAGTGCTTTTCAACAGGCTTGCTTTGTAATACTGTTTCACTGATAAATTATTTTACATTTGAAAAACTATTTTAAGGTGTTGTCTTTTGGAAGATGTTTGTGGTTGTTTTATTGTCTCGTGCCCCTGCTTAGGAACTGTTGCAAACTGCTCAGTGTGTTTCAGCTGTTGGCAGTATAGAAGAAAGACGTACATATACTTGTGTTTCCTAATTATAAATTCTGGAAAAAATCTCCCCCACCACCTGTCTATGAGTGAGAACCTACTGCATGTATTTGATTTAGTTTTAAACATAGGACAGAAATGGAAATTCTATAGAGGAAAAAAACTAGGGCCTTTCTAGTTGCACTCTGATAAGTCTTAATGGATCGACCTTTGAAGTGGTTATGTGAAAAAATGGAACGCTAAAATAGAGGAAAAGAGATGGATTTATTTCTGGATGAATAAAAGGGAAAAAGAGGCTGATTTTAGTCCATAAAAGGCCTGCCAAAATGAAATGAGAGAAAAGATACTACAAAAGATATGTGCAGAAAGCAACGGGAAGCTCAGGTGTATTCTCATCAGGGTGGGCAGGGTGGACAACTTAACCCACCTCCCAAAAAGACAACAGCCTTCACAGGATGAGGAATGCCCTCTGGAATCTCTGACAGCAAAAATTCCAAGTAAGAAGTAATTGCTGGAGCACAATTACAATTCAAGAATTGGTTTCCCTCTTTGGTGCAACCTGTTGAATCACATTTCTTGGATACAATCTGGCCATATTTCAGTGCTTTTAAATAGTACTGATTTTTGCTCAAGGAACTTAAGCATGTGCTTAAACCCCTTCCATAAAATTAGGAGATTTTAAAGTGAATGATTTTGACTAGGCACATCTAGAAATGTGGTGAATGGCATGGCACAGGAAACTGTTAATTTAGGGTTGCAGACAAAGGTTTAGTACTACTTTCAGGGAAAAATACGTGGCAACGGGAGTGAGTCTTTTCATAATTACATCATCTCCAATGCATTGCACTGTTGATAGTTGGTAAAGTCTTCCATTTTAACGAATCAGTTGGCATTAACTTAAGTAATTGTGATAGCCTGGCCCACTGTCGAAACAGAAAACCTTATTGTCGCTCATTAGCAGCATTGAATTGACCTCTGCTTGAGCCCCATGTTCAGGCAGATCTAATTTGTTCATGATTTCAGTCAGCTAACAGGTGCCAACCTAAATCAGGGACAAGATAGCAAGATTTCCCTACACAGCCACATCAGAAACATGCCCCAGAGTGAAAGAAAATATGGTATATAGGAAACGGCCTTATACCATGCCCAAACCTTTGGGTTCAAGCCCAGCTCTTCAGCACCTCAGCACTTCCCATCATCTCTTAAGGGGAGGTGACAGGGATGAAATTCAGGGCTTTCTGCAAGCAAACTGTTTGCTATATCATTGAGTCATTCATTCATAAATCTGAGTTGTCTTTCAGCCCAAGAAGGCCTCCCAAGGCGATGTACAGTGCTTGGTCCTGTGTTAAACCAGTCTGAGGCTGCTTTCTAAAGCACACGTCTTTGGTCAGTGCATCCCACTGAGCTCTGTGGGGGATTCTAAGCATGTTTAAGAAGCGTTCCCTCGTTTGTTGCAAATCCAGCTTAGCAAGTGAAGATTCTAATCAGATTTGCTCATTGCTTTGTTTCCCCAGACATGCTTCATCAGATTGCACTCTTGCTATTGGCTGCTGAGCTACAACTATCACTTGCCCAGGTATGAGCCTTAGGATTTGCACAGAACATCTATTACACCTGCCTGGATCTGGAACCTACAATTCCTGGAAATACGGTTCATTTGTTACTGTTGCTTTCAGAGGAGGATAGAGCTTAAGACAGTTTCCTTCCATTTTCTTTTTTTTTCTTGAATAAGTTTTATTCTTAATAAACCTAACAAAAAGGGAACTAAAAATGATCAATTATCGAAAACATCAGACCTACTGGGTCAGTCCTCCACTTTTTTTCTTTTTATGTTAAACTATAAACATATTTAACTCTATGCATAGTCCCATTTCTCTAGCCAATAGTAAAAAGAGTCCCAGGTTTGATAGAAATCTGTATCTTCTTTCTCCTTCAGAGACAAAGTCAATCTGTCCATTTTGGCACAGTCCAAAATCTTTTTTAGAATCAGTTCATCGGCAGGTGGCTCTTCACTCTTCCAGTGTTGGGCAAATGCAATCCTCACCGCAGTAATTACATGTAAAATCAACTACATTTCTTGTTTACTAATATCAACAGGTATAATGTCTAATAAGAAAACTTCAGGTTTAAATGTTAGAGGTTTTTGTAACATTTCCTCAAGCCATTTGTGTATTTTAATCCAATACTTTTTTGCCTTATCACAGGTCCACCACATATGATAAAAAGTACCCAATTTGTGTTTACATTTCCAACATCCATTTGACATATTTGGAGACAGATACCATCTATAAAACATTTTATACAGGTTTTCTTTATATGAGGTTGCTAATGTTACTTTAATATTTCTTTCCCACAGCTTTTGCCATTTCTCTAACTCAATATTATATCCAATGTTTTGTGCCCACATTATCATAGTTTCCTTAACCTGTTCATCTTCCATTCTCCTATCCAGTAGGAGGTTATTCAATCTTTTAATCATTTTCTCATCTGATTTAAGCATCACCTGATCAAAAGCTGTTAGCTCCTTATAAAAGCCCCACATTCTATAGGCTTTAGCATATCTCGATTGCATTTGAACCTTGTGCCACCAAGAAATATTAGTTCTTTGTTCTTGTATTTCTTGATTCAATTTCAATCCTCCATCATTATCCAAAATATCATCATATCTCACAATCGTATCAAAATTCAATGCATTTGGATATATGAGAGCTTCCATAGGCGCAAGCCATCTTGGTAATTTAGTATACAGTTTTATCTTTAAATTTTCCCACACTGACATTAATGATTTCCTAATATAATGATTTAAGAAACAACCATGCACCTTACACTTTTCATACCACATCAGGAGACTGGCACGTTTGTCATAGTCAAACCTGGGTTCCTACAGCCGTTACTTTAAATCTAATTCTAGCAGACTGGTGCAGGTCCCTGATTCAGATCATGACCTCAGCAGCAAAGGCAGGGAGGCTTTTAGTCATTGTCAGTGTCATCATCATTGTCTTTTTGTTCCATTACATTTACATCCTGCCATTTTTCCTGTTGCAAGGAACCTAAGGCAGCTTTCATGGGTTTCCTCTTCTCCATGTTATCCTCAAAACAACCCTGTGTGGTAGGTTAGGCTACGAGTGAGTGACTGGCCCCAAGTCACCCAGTGAGCCTCATGGCTGAGTGGGGACCAGATCCCGGATCTCCCACGCCCCAGTCTGACACTGTAACCACAATGCCACACTGGTTCTCTTTTCAGATCTGGACTGGGTTCCCTTCACCTGCTTTGGAGTGAAGGAATAGCTGCTAAGCAAAGGCTGAAAGCAGTGCTGTTTTCCTCCTGGGCAGCATTTCAGAGACAGCTGCCTGGAGAGGGAGGGAACTATTTCCGACAGAGCTCTTGCTGCCTTTTTTCATGAGACAGCGGGGATGCTTTTTGTTGGCCTTGTTTAGCTTACCCCTCCAAAGGTACCCACATTGGCCTCACTTCATGCAACAGGATCTAAAATCAATTCCTGTTTTGTTAGTATAAAGACTACCTAGTTTTGGCCAGTAATGTGCTGGTAAGAGGGGTCTGTACGCTTTGACCGAAAAGGAAACACTCCTGAGAATAGCTGGGCATTCTGTTCTCCAAACTGGAGGCTGGAGCATTCCCCTGGCACGGTCCTTCAGCTGGCCACTTCAGGTCAGATGCCCGCTCATACACAGCAGTGAAGGTAAGGATTTCGGCAGTGTGCAGTATATACTAAAATGTTGTTGTTGTTAGTCACAAAGTTGTGTCCGACCCATCATGACCCCATGGACAACATTCCTCCAGGCCTTCCTGTCCTCCACCATCCCACCAGTATCTGGCCTTCTAAAGAGCAGTCAGGGTTGATCTCCTCTAGGACTGACTGGTTTGATTACCTTGCAGCCTTCCTTATGGTCCAACAGTCACAGCCATACATTGTAACTGGGAAAACCATAGCCTTGAGTATACGCACTTTTGTTGGCAGGGTGATGTCTCTGCCTTTTAGTATGCTATCTAGATTTGTCATAGCTTTCCTCCCAAGGAGCAAGCATCTTTTAATTTCTTGGCTGCAGTCCCCATCTGCGGTGATCTTGGAGCCCAGGAAAATACAATCTGTCACTACCTCCATTTCTTCCCCATCTATTTGCCAGGAAGTGAGAGGACCAGATGTCATGATCTTAGTTTTCTTAATGTTGAGTTTCAAGCCAACTTTTGCACTCTCCTCCTTCACCCGCATCAAGAGGCTCTTTAGTTCCTCTTCACTTTCTGCCATGAGGGTGGTATCATCTGCATACCTGAGGTTGTTGATATTTCTTCCAGCAATCTTCATTCCAAATGGTGCTTCATCTAGCCCCACCTTTCTCATGATGTGCTCTGCATATAAGTTAAATAGGCAGGGGGACAGCATACAGCCTTGCCGAACTCCTTTCTCAATTTTGAACCAATCAGTGGTTCTGTGTCCAGTTCTCACTGTTGCTTCTTGACCCACATATAGGTTTCTCAAGAGACATATAAGATGGTCATGTACTCCCATCTCTTTAAGAACTTTCCACAATTTGTTGTGATCCACACAATCAAAGGCTTTAGCATAGTCAATGAAGCAGAAGTAGATGTTTTTCTGGAACTCCCTAGCTTTCTCCATGATCCAGCGTATGTTGGCAATTTGATCTCTAGTTCCTCTGCCTCTTTGAATCCTTCCTGTACTTCTGGTAGTTCTCGGTCCACATACTGCTGGAGCCAAGCTTGTAGGATTTTGAGCATAACTTTGCTAGCATGTGGAATGAGTGCAATGGTGCGGTAGCTTGAACATTCTTTGGCATTGCCCTTCTCTGGGATCAGAATGTAAACTGACCTTTTCCAATCCTGTGGCCACTGCTGAGTTTTCCAAGTTTGCTGGCATATTGAATGTAGGACTTTTACTGCATCGTCTTTTAGGATTTTGAATAGCTCAGCTGGAATAGTGTCACCTCCACTAGCTTTGTTGTTGCTCAGACTTCCTAAGGCCCATTTGACTTCACTTTGCAGGATGTCTGGCTCGAGGTCAGTGACCACCCCATCGTGGTTATCAGGGATGTTAAGCTCTTTTTTGTATAGTTCCTCTGTGTAATCTTGCCACCTCTTCTTAATCTCTTCTGCCTCGGTTAGGTCCCTGCCATTTTGGTCCTTTATCATGCCCATCTTTGCATGAAACGTTCCCTTCATTTTCTTGAAGAGATCTCTGGTCCTCCTTATTCTATTGTTTTCTTCCATTTCTTTGCACTGTTCATTTATACTAAAATACTGCATTTTATTCTTTAATCTGTTGGCAATCCAGCCAGAGAACATGAGCTATGTAGTACACAAGTACAGTTATAACATAAGAGCATAGGCACTGTTGTACATTTGACCCATGGCTGATGGAAAGAAGAGAAATTATTTCAGCACAAAGGAATCTCTTGCATAACTTCTTTTACTTTCAGTCAGCCACAAGCATACTAGGCGATGTCTCTGAGGAGGATCAGAAGATTATTATTGAGAAGCACAACCTACTCAGGGGAGCAGTGCAGCCGCCTGCCAGCAATATGTTGAAAATGGTAAGCTCAGGTTCACTGAGATTGCTACTTTTGAAATGCTTCACAGTGGCGTAATTTCTACTTTCATAGCTTCCAAGACGATATGATTTAGGAACACATCTGTTTTGTATGTAAACTATTTTTAGGCCACCTTATGGGTCAGTGTTCTTTCCAGGCACAAATAAAAGCACAGTTCAGAGAACGTATTTGTATCTGAACATATTGTATTAATTGTAAGCCGTCCCGAGACATTTGTAGGGGACGGGATAGAAAAGCTTTTAATAAACAAACAAACAAATTAACTATGTGCTTTATAGAAGATATATATAGACACACACACACAAATTACAATTTAAATGTGTGTGTGTGTGTAAAGAGAGTTTACAACCAACAAAATGTGGAAAGGCCAGTGAACTGTAAGTACAGATTATGCAGCTCTTAAAAAGGCAGGCAATCTGGAGTAACAACTACCCCAAGATCCAGTAAGCAGCTCTCTGAGACTATCCTTTATCACCAGACCTGCTTCAAGGATTGTTGGAGGCCGGCACAGATGGGGCTGGTCATGCTTCCTGGGAGAGGTCGAGGCACTGGGATCAACTACTGAAAAGGGCCCCAGTGGCTTAGATGAGCCCAGCAAATCTAGGAGCAGACCAATGAGCAGAACCTCTGAAGCCAAGCTTAAGAGACGGAGGTAGAACCAGGCTGCGATAGTACAAGATTTCCTCCCACCAGACACTCTGTGAGCCGGATGTTAGTGTGGTTGGTGATATATCACGCCCCCTGAAATAATCGCCTTGTGCATTTTGCCTTTCTCTGTGCTAAGTGTGGCATGGAGTTGTGTGCCTCTTTGCACCATGCTGGGTTCAGGCCAAGTGCATCGTGACACTGTCCAAACAAACCATGCCTCACAACCACACTCTTCCCAGTGCTGATCTCTTTCCTTCTTTCTTTCTTTCTTTCTTTCTTTCTTTCTTTCTTTCTTTCTTTCTTTCTTTCTTTCTTTCTTCTCTCTCTCACGCGCTCTCTCTTCTCTTCTCTTCTCTTCTCTGCTCTGCTCTGCTCTGCTCTGCTCTGCTCTGCTCTGCTCTTCTCTTCTCCTTCTTTCTTTCTACCTGTATTTATAGGCCTCCTATAACTGCCGAGGCCTTTCTAGGCGGCTGGTGTGGTGTGCATCATTCCTCACAGCCACCTGGCCAACACCAGCAGCCCGTCCTTTATTCCTGGCCTGCATCACAGCGCCCCCAAGAGGCCTTTCTGAACTCCTGCTCCCTCTGGCACAGCGGGGAGCTGAGCCAGTCACTGCAGTAACTATCCAGCGCCTTGCTGCCCTCCCCATCCAGTTCCTTCACTGAATCACAGCACAGATGTGAATATCCCACATGGAAAGGTTTGACCTTTTCCGGATCATAATCACTGAGTTTATAAGGAAATTATTTCAGCATGAAAAACCCTCTAGATGCAATCTGAGCACTTGGCACTTCCTGAGTGAAACCAAGAAATACTTAAGACCAGCACCGCTTTTCTTCGGCAGAAAGACCACTGACTGAGAGGTCTGTAAAAGATTTGCTTAAATAAAACCTCAGGTGGAGTTAGAAAGCAGCACTTGCGATCTCACCATCTTGAAACAAGAGTGTTCATTCATATCTGCATTCAGCAATAAATTTTCTGATCCCTGCTCAGCCAGGGTCCCTCTGTGGGGGTATGCACACAGCTGGGCAGGAACTAAATATGCAAAAGTGCTTCTTTTTCGGGAGCACTTTCCCTCTAAGCTAAAGAGCTAAATCTGTCAATATCTTTTTGAAAAGTCACGCACCTGATGGTTGGCTGTTAGATGGGGGTGTTAGGGTGTCTGAATTCTGCACCTCAGCTCTGTGTCTCTGTTACTGGTTTGTGCAACCTGAAGATGCAGTAATTCCATGGTCTAGCTGCAAGGTAATGATTACTCTGTTTGATCTATTAAGAGATGGAACGAGGAAGCTGCCAAAACTGCTGCAGAATGGGTCAGTAAATGCCTAGGGGAGCCCAGTCCCAAAGAGGAGCGAATGGTGGACGGTAAGTAGGATGTGGATGTTAGAAAAAATCACAACAGACTTGCAGGAGTGAATGTGACCTGCAGATCCTACGGTTCTTCTGAAGCATGCAGGTCCTGTGGACTTGTGAGACATTTAAAATAGATAATTTTATGAAAGTGCAGGGTGCAGTCCTATCACCCCAAACTTACCTGGATGTAAGCCTCTGAATAGGGGGGCTTACATGCATGCAGTGGCCAGAACGAGGGGCACTGTCCACAGCTGCACTGTCCGAAGCCTTCACATCTTGCCCTGTGCAATGAGCTAGGCTGTTGCTACCATCCATCTAGCTAGAGCAGCCGAAAGGACGAGGGAAGGAAGCTGGGGTGCCAACAGGAATCGGCCTAGGCGGATGGTCCCAGCCACCCTCCATCTCTGCCCAAGCACACCCCTTCCTACTTCCTCTCTCTGAGTACCTTGGAGAGGCAGCCGGTGGGGTTCTCTCCATGCTGGCTGTTAGGAAGATGGGGTTTGGGCTCGGAAGAATCCTATGGTCTCTCCAGATAATGTGAGCAGTCCACAGGACTGCCTCCTCAGTCATAGAAAATATGTAAAAGGGCAGTCAGGAATGCTGGAAGTTTTTAAGCACCCATCTGGAGAATGTTGCATGGATCTGCCATATAAAAGCAATGTGGACTTTTTGCGCCCAGGGATAAATTGGAGGAAAAGTTAATGTCAAGCAGAGCCCACTGTAGTTTTCCTTTCTTTTTTCTCCTACCATATGTTTATGGCACTCTGATCTGTATTGGGATTACCATGAATGAATAAGGATGGCTTAAACCGTCCCCCAGCTGCTTCTCCGCACACACTAAATTACCTTTCTCCCATGTAAGGCAGCTAAAGAACGGGAGGGATTGGGGAATTCTACCTGCATCAATGGAAGAGGGTTTTTCCCCTTTAAACTTCAACTGCTGGTGAGGTAGAAGTGAAAATAGGTTGGAAAGGGGCTGTGTGGGAAGGTTAAAACCCATGCCCCATGTAAAATGGTTCTCATCCAGCCCACATGCTTATAGAAAAATAAAAATAAATAAAAAGGAGCCTTTGTTAGGTGCTACATATTTAATGTATTGTTGGACTCTCAGCAAGATAAGGAATGAATTTCTGGGCCTCTCTTATTCTGGCCAATGAGGGCAAAGCTATTTGGATGACTGAAAAATGTGAGTAGTTGGCACTTCTGATTTCCATTTACTAAGATCACATATTTTAACAATATGTAATAACATATAACATTTGCTGAAACATTTTGGCCAGCATCTCATTCATAACACAAATTACGTCGCCGTGATGCAAATTGCATCTGGGACAAGCCCTGTACCGCTTCCGCAGAACCACCCATTCTGCTAGCAAACACTCTTGGTCTCGTGCTAGAGGTAGCTGGTCCTAGCTTGACGTAATTTGCAACAGCACTAATGTTTAGTTGGATCATTTCAGTCTTTAGTATTTAGGGTCTGTGCAGTGTTCTAATCTGGGGATGAACAGAATGTGGATTACAGTTTACTTTCAGTGAATTGGCCAAATTCCTTCCCTGGGGGTTTTAACAGCCAAAAGCAAAAGGGATTCTTCTAGGTAAAGCAGTATATATAAAGAAGGGTTTGGGTGAAAATCAGGAGTGGTGCTTAAGAGAGGAGTAAGAGCTCAGCTATGATACAGAAAACAAATTATAGGGCTTGGTGAGTGCTTAAATGTGCATAAGTTAGAAACATAGAAACAGAGCGAGTCCGAAGGGGTCTCCCGGGCCATCTAGTCTGACCTCCGGCATTCAAAGTGTGTGTCTTTCCTTTGACAAGAAAAGGAGGAGGGAATCTGTGAAAAATACCTGGAAGGAGTTTTTGAGGAATTCCAACATACCAGTGAGGGTTAGAACAAGAATTAATTTTGGCATGTGGAGCAGAATATAGTATACATTCTGTTCATATACTTTTACTGTTCATACAGTTTGATTGATTCATTCATTCATTTTTAAAAGTTTGGAAAAGCAGGGGTATAAAAGGGGTACTATATAAAAGGGGTACTTTGGCTTAGCTGTATGCAAGATTAGTCATCACATGATGAATCCAACTCAATGTTAAAGGTGTTTTGCAAATGCCTCAAATCAGGCCCTGCACTGAGTCATGTGTGTCCCTATCCACCTTTTACGAAATTCTGGAGTGTTTGCAGGTGTACCTTCCATCAGCATTTCCTCCTTGCTGCTCTTACCTTCCTCTCCCCCTGCTGTGTGCTCACTACCTCACTACCCTGAGATTCTCCTACTCCATCTTCTGTTGTTTCCCCCAACATGGGGGCTCTTCCATCGCTCCCACCAGCAGAACTGTGCTGTGCAATGCCCTGCCCTGAAGCTGACTGCTCTGGCCAATCTTCATTTCTGTTCAAAGCAGAGGAAGATTATTTCTTCCCATTCAATCTGATCTCCTTCAGAATCAACCAAATCCTACAGATTCTCACAAATTAAGAAATCCGTGTTTGATTGTAAGTGTCTCTTGCTGTGTTTAATTAGGATGAGAGTTAATAGATGTGCACAGACATGACAGGCCATATCTGAAGGTGTTTCACCACTGTGGCCAGCGAATTCGGGGGAACCACTGACAGGGGCTGTTCTGCCCCTGTTCTCTTCGACATACTTGGGGCCTTGAGTGCATGGAACTCCCTGCCACAAAGCAACCTCAGTCATAAAGGCCCCCAGCCAAGAAACCCCACCACCAAAACAACCCACCTAGGCCTCAGGGACCTGCAAAGTTGACGCCCCTCCGCCAAGTTGACCCCCAAGTTGGCATGGCTTCATCAAGGGAATGGACTGTGCGCACTGGAGGACTGCTATTTAATTTGTCGGATGGCAGTGCTCATGCCAAAATTAAATGCTCTCAGTCACCACACTTCCTAAAAGAGGCTTTCCTGAGAACAAGCTCTCAGCTTGATGCCCCCCGGATCCATGCACTATGCTCCACCCCAGGCAACCCCTTGCAACTGGAAGTGAATGCTGTGCAGCAGGCTCCTGCGGCCGTCAGGCCCTCTTGCTGCTTCTGGCTGTGGAACGGCACTGCATGGGGAACACTTGCCAAAATGCAAAATGCCCAGCTCAGGTCCCTGGCTGAGCCCTGCTGGTGCTGGCCGTTGCCACCTGCTTAAGGTACAACCTCCAGGGTCCAGTTCTCCACAGTCAGCAGCTCCAGGGTCCAGGTCACTCTCTGAAAGAGTTTTCTCAGAGTGGCTTTCCCAGCATTACTCGGTTAGCGAGTCACCAGGAACTCCAGCCCCATCATTCGCTCCCTGGCTCTCTCTAAAGACTTCTCCCTGCCCTGCTCTTGTAGCCATTTCTGCCTCTTACAGAGTTTCTATCTGCTGATCACCTTTCTTTGCAGCATCTGACCAGGTGACGCAAAAGTAACTTCTTCCTCTTGACGTTTTAAACAGCTTGAAGCCTTCCTGTATAAGTCACTGTAAACAAGGCAACAAAACTCTTTACTACTTTATGCACAGTAACGAGACCTCTGGCCTGCACAGGTACATTACAGATGCACCGAGGTCACTTATGGTAAATCATTCATGCAGTCATGGAGGAGGAACTTCTGCACAACCCTTTCTTGTAAGCCCTCATGCTCGTTTTCCTTTGCGGCCTTTTCTTAAGCCCAATAGAGGGGAAAAACTCTCACTGGAATCGGTGAGCTAGCCTTTGCTGTGTAAATATGCCTGAGAAATGCATAGGAAGAGGTAAGAAGATGCTCACACAGAGGTCACACTCAGTGCATACGTCTGGGTGGATTCTTATTGCATGGAGCTGGGCACAGCACGTATCCCTGAAGTCCAAATTGCCTTCCATGTGAGGTCAGTGACAGCAGCTCCCAGATAGGTTTGCTTTACAAAATGTAACAGTGAAGTATATCACTTGTGTGGGGAGGAGGAACTGAAACGAACCCTTTGCCCTTGCACTGTGACCCCAGTCCAAATGGCTCCAAATCTACCATGCCTTGCCTTGATCTCTTCCTTATCTTTCAGTGTTCCTTGACCATGAAATATGCGTATTAATGGGTTGGCCTGCTGCAATTCAGAGAGTTTGGCACTGGACGCCTTGTAACACAGAGGGAGAGCTTTTATCACAGGGAGTCAGTTGCAGGTGCAAAGCACCCATCATCAGCCTGACAGGCATTGCAGTTCAGCACAGGTGCTCTGCTTCCTCGCCCACTCCTCCCCCCCAGGCCACCTGGCCTGCTTGTGGGGGTGCAGCAGGGACAGCGAGTCCCCTCTCCCCAGCAGCTGCGGCCACGATCATGGGCCGAGCTCCTTGATCGACTGACTGGCTGATGGTTTTCAGGTAGGTGAGGGCCAGCCAAGAGGCAGCTTCCATGATCCCCTGCTGGCGCAGACACCTTCAAGGGACTAGCCTGCCTGCCCACTCACTTTTAATTTTTGTGTTTTGCCTGCAGCTGGGTGTATGGGATTTTTCCTCCTCTTTTTCAATTGTGCAAACCAGCCTTCTGCCCCGAAGCACAAGCGGGCGACTTCCCACCTTGGCTGGCCACTGCTTGGGGTTGTATAGTTGCTGCTACACTGTGCTCCAGCCAAGGTGGGGAGTCGCTCCTGTCGCACTTCAAGGAATGAGCCCTGGCTGCCCCTCTCAGCTGGGGCAGCAGCCAGCTGTGCTCATTGACTAGCCACTTGGCAAGAGCAGCAGGGGGATTTTGCTGCTCCTACCAGGACTTTCCCCACAAGAGGTCAGTAGTCTAGGGCTGGATGGCAGGACAATCCACTGTGGCTCCAACAGACCCTCCCAGAGACGTTTGGTTCTTATCCTGACGGCCAACTATGATAAGACGCAACAGTCACTAACCATGAGTATGCTTGCTCTGCATGACAAGAACCAACGACAGCAGTCAACGGGTTGCCATCCAAAGCCGATCGGTGGGTTGTCTCGACACCACCAGCACACTTGCTTACCTGCAACAGCCCTAGAGGACTGAGCTCTGAAATTCAAGGTCACCACCTGGGGAACACCAGCCTGCCTCTTTATGATGGCTTGTTCATCAAGCCTCATCCAAGCTCGACATCAGAGCTTGCCCTTCTGTCTGAGCCTCAGGCCCTCATGGCGAGGACTCTGCTAACTCAGGTGGAGGACCCCTGCCCAGCACTGGCTTTGTGCATGCCTCTGGCCCCTCCGGTCCAGCACTGTTGCCCACCTCGCATGGACTAAGCACCTAAGCCCTTTCCTTTCTGTGTCTTTGCTCAAAGACTCAACCTTGTATCTGCCCCGATGATGCACCTGCCTTTGCCCCCACCCCCCGCCCAGAGCCCAGAGAGCCGCCCCCGGAGTTCCTGTTGCTGGCTTTGGCCCACTCCTTGTGCCAGCACTGGCTGGCCACCTTCAGAGCAAGCCTCACGTCTGCCCACCCTCCCCACACCGGCGCACGTTCTACATTCCTCAAGTGGCCAGCCTTCACGTGCATTTTAAGGGTGCCTTGCATGCAAGCATCTTTCTTCTCTTCCAGGAAAGGTGTGTGGTGAGTCTATACTGAGGGCAAACTATCCCAGCAGCTGGACAGACGTAGTAGATATTTTCGCAAGTCATCAACCTTATTTCAAATATGGCATTGGGACAACCGACTCCTCAAAAGACATTCTGAGCTATACTCAGGTATGAACAGAAGCACCATAAACGTCTGACTTCTGATATGATTTTGGGGGCTAAAACAGTGGAAATAACATCCATGAATTCTGGTCTTTTAATTGTGTCTAAGCAAGTCTGCTGATAACTGAGTTGCATGAAGCTTTACAGTTAATGTGTAACCCTCTTAGAGAGTCCTAGGACTAGTTATGGTGGGATATAAGTTGAATAAATATAGTAAATAGGTTGGGACCTAAAGGGGAGGGTTCTGTCAAGTGTTTGCAAGGATGCCAGTGATTGCAGGGAAAGGCAGCAGTGGCTGCAGATGCTCACTTTCCTCAACACTGCATCACTCCTCACAAGTCCCAGCATCCCTGGCTGGCCAGTGACTTTGTGTACACCTTTCTCCTCTGCAAAAATAGCACTTGAGCATCACTTTCTCACTGGGGGCATTGAAATGTACTCCCAGTTCTCAGTGTAAAAGGCCTACCACTGGAGACTGAGAGTCCCTACGAACCCATTTTCTGTGGCCCCTCTTACACTCAGGGCAAGGCAGGGCAGGGCCTTGTCTGTCACCTTCCTCAGCTCTGCCTACTGAATGGAGTGAGAAAGAGCATCCCTGAAGGAGCCCCTCAGTGGATGCGGGGGGTGGCCCTGCTCTCCGTCTCGCATAATCGCAACATTGGCCAGGCTGGTTTTTGCAAGTCATTGTTCAAAGCATCCAGAGAGCATAATGTACGGAACAGAAGGAGGAGTGTTCCAAATCTTCATTCTGCCTTTCTGAAATTCACTGAGCTAAACGTATTTCGCTTTGCTTGAAAGCTCTGCTGTTTTATGGTCGCATAGTTGCAATAATTCCTACACAGGCTTCTTGTTTGTTTGTTTGTTTTTTCATGAACCCCCATTTAATGTGTGGCCTCTGCCCCACTTATGTTTCTAGATTATTTGGAGTCATTCTAACCAGCTTGGATGTGCACATGCCTACTGCCTCAATAACATCCACAATTTCCATTATGTCTGCCATTACTGCCCTGGGTAAGTGTCACACCTGAATAAACTGTTCTGTTCTCCGTTTGCCACCATGCTTGCCGACACATCCTGAGCTTCTGTGTGTTGAGGAATGCCCTGAGTTATTATACAGCTAACACCCTTATTATAGCACCCTTAGCTGTAGTCTTAGTTATTAGTTATTACACTTAATACCCTGAGTTACTAAATAGCTTATCCACTATCAAGAAATGGAAAGAGAAATGATGGCTATTCCTAATTTGTATTGCTCTTAGTTGTTCCTCATGGATTCCTCAAAGTTGTTCCTTTGTTTTTCCCCACACTTTCATAACCTGGGTGATATTAAGTGAAGCACTGCTCAAGGGGGATCAGGCCACCTCCATATTCTTTGTGGAGCAGGAGAAGGTAAAAGCTCTCCTGTGCTGGTTTTGCAGACAGCCCTTTGGCTTTAACCTGCCTCGCATGCAGAAGTGTCATGTATTCCCTTTTTTATAGAAGTATTTTGAATTGATTTTCCTTTATGATTTTATCAAATTATAGATACTACCAAGTCTATGCACATTTTATATTGATTCTAGATTTCCGCAATAGCCCCTACATTTAGCTTTGAAAGCCGATCATTTTTTTTTCTTTTTACTTCCCGAGCAAAACAAATATGCATGATGTACCAAATCATCATTATGATTATAACTTAACTAAGCAAACTTTCCATCATGCCTAATTCAGTACATTTATGTCTTTGCCTGCAGGGGATTACAATATCATTTCAGGTTTTGAAAGGCCGGTCCACCATTCTTTTTAGATGTTCCATTGAGTTTCCCCATCTATTTATTTCCTTCTTCTCATTTGAGCAAACTTCTAAAATATCCTTTTCCCATTTTAAAGAAAAATCTTCATGGGTTCCTTGCAAGGGTAGTTTTTGAAATAGGGATAATAAATTTAGAAATGCTGCATCTTGATCAATGTTCTTTTTTGAAACCATGAGACAGAATATGATGTCTGAAATGATGTGCTACATACATATGATTGCCTGCTATTTTCATGAATAAACAATAATACAGTGTAGATCCAGATCCTTCCTTCCTTCCTTGAATAATGTGTTTATCTTTGTCAGTGATTTTTTTGGGCTCCACCATGTCTGAAAGAATATTATCTGTGTAGATCATCATGTTTACAATATAAATCCATTCTCAGCACCTGGATGATCACTTAGTACGGAATGTTCAAGAACTAGAGACAGTGCTATGAATACTATGCACCCCTGGCTAGTGCCACATTTTAATGTAGAGAGCAGTCCTATGGGGTCTAGCCCAATGGAGGGTCTTCCAGTTCTGGACACCCCCTACCCAGCACAACCGGAGGAGCAATGGGAGTTGTTTGCCCCTCCATTCTCCATATGGGCAATTTGTTCCAGATGGGTCTTTCTTGTTCACGCTGCCTGGCCCAGGGGTTGAGAGGCCTGGAGAGCAGACTGAGAGCGGATCCGTGGTCTCTCTGCTCCCTGCCCACAGGCTCACCCAGCACCCTACTTCCTCCCTTCCCAGGGCTGGAAGCCTTCATTCCTGGCCAGAAGAGGGAGGGCCACTGCAGAGCTGAACATGCAGGAGAGGAACCACACTCAGAGCTTCTCCTCTGAGGTTGGTGTCTTCAGCCTTGTGGGGGACCAACTCCACTGAATCCTATGGCTCCTCAGATACTGCCAGGCTGTGCTCTGAATTTATTTAGAAAAGCATCCATTTGTTATATTCATTCTAGCATCAGCATTTCCACGCATTTCTACATGAAGTCTCAGTTGATATGTGACATGTACAGCTAAATCCCATGTTCTCCATCAAATCATCTAAATATCTTAGCTGAACCCTCTCAATATCTTTTCAGCATTCCAAGGGGCTATAACACAAGAGTATGTGCAATTTAACAGTTATCTGTTAACTAAGAGTTCTTCTGATATCTTCTTTCATTGTTCCTCTTTAAAGGATCCAGATTATATTACTTTTGATAAGAGATTGTTCAACATTTGGCAAACTTTGTCATTAGAGTTTTAAAATCTTGGCTTAATAGCAGATCAGTATGACACAATATTCTACTTTCCTTTGAAATTAGAGTTCTTTTTGCACTTGACCAAGAAGCTAGAATCTTTTAGGCTCTTTTCGCCCACTCTTATCCATGCCAGAACCCCATCATATGCTGTCTAGCCTCACTTTTTGTATTAATCACTGATCAAAATGCCTTTATTATGCAAGGTCAGCAAGATTATTTTTATTTCACCAGTACTGAATTTTTCTTTTCCTTGTCTTCTCTACAACAAATGTAATCACTTTACAAAGTTAGAAGGTAATTGTTGGAAGATTTGTTTTTCTCTTATTCACTTCTACATGTTTCCTCAACAGGTAGCTTCATCCATAACCATCAGATTTTGAAAAGTGATCAAAACTAGTCAGATTTTTCATTTCTGCTTGTGTTTGTTATGTCCCTCTTTTCGATGCAGCACCCTTCTTAACTTCCATTCCATTTTTTAATCTCACGCTCTGTTTCAAGTTAATTCAAAGAACTTGTCTATTTTTCTCCCCAAAGTATCTCTCTCTCTCATATGTGTGTGTGTGTGTGTAAATATAATATTCTCCTTTTTATTCCTACTGGTGGGTGGAGGAAGATCCAAAGGGAGACCTTTTTAATGCTTTACTATAACTCCCCGACATCCACTTTGATTCTGATGCACAAAACTCATAAATAGAAGGAGAATTCATATTACAGTAGGACTCTCATTGGAGCTAACGTGGTAGTTAATTCGTTACTTTCCCGGGACACAGTGAGTTCACTAAGGGGCTGTTGCCTGTCGCTATGCAGAATTGTCTTGATGCTGATGTTAATGTGGCTTCCTCCACAGGTGAGGTCTGGCCAGGTCACCTGTAGCAAAGGCCGACATTCAGTATAATTTCTTACCTATCTTTTCTTACCTGCACTTCAATGACAAACATGTTGCACTGCTCTGTGATTTCAGAGGAAACATACAAGGAAAAATAAATACACCGTACAAAGAAGGCCCATCATGTGGAGACTGCCCTAACAACTGTGAGAATAATCTTTGCAGTAAGTTACCGATGACATAAAGCAACTCCTTTGGATGGTAATACCCCTTTTCTCAATCTGCCATGATACATGCAATGCATAATTCCAGAATCTTGTAAAAAAAAAAAAAAAAGTTCCTGTTACCAATCATCTCTGTGCCATTTCTTAAGGACTGCAGCCCCGGGGAGATTTCATCTTTCAGGTGCTGCCACAAAAACGCTGTCTGGGACTTCTGCCAAATGAATTTCCGTGGAAGGGGAGTCCTGAGCCAGGGTTTTGGGAGACACTTACTTAGTCAGTTCTGAGCACCTGAAAGTTCAACCTGAAAAGGATCAATCCGTTGCAAAAGCCTAGTTGGGGCCCTCGTGGATGCACAGGCTCTTTGCAAGCTCCCTGTTCTAGTGCTTGCAAAAGGCTGAATGGCTTTCATGAAGCCTCGGCCTCTAACCTGCTGCCCACCCCAGCTCCTCCTTCACCAAGATAAGCTCTTTGGCCTTGGGAAAGGCAAGCAGGGCCACCTGTACAGATGCAAGAGGAAAGCAGCAGGGATGTCTGTACAGAGCAAGCAGGGGCCTGTGCTCTCTGCCGCCTTGATCCTTGCCTCAGGCATGAGAGCACCGGGGGTACTTGCTTTTGCAATTGTCATGTCATTCCAGTCTTGGTGGTCAGAGATTCATATTCCCCAGGCCAGTCTAGAGGATCTTTCTAGGGATGGGCTTTGCAAGAAGCGTGGAGAGAGAGAGGGATGGAGCATCCATCCTCTGCTATGGCCTCCAAACAGCCGTGGCCACCTCTCTCACCAGCTGCCCACCCCCCCCTCCCCGATGTTGCATAGGATTCCCTGGTCATCCCTTGAGGTGGGAGGAGGCAAGAAGGTATTTTAATTAACTGATAGAGTTAGAGAAAGTATTGTTTTAAGGCTGTCCTGTGACTGATTTGATTTGAATAACGGTAGCTCTTAGTTCAGTCATTTTTATAAGTATCCCCCTCATTTATCTATTGCTCTCTGCAAATCATTACATCTCTAAATGTAAATAGGCCCGATCCATTTACATTTAAGTAAAATGTAACATTTTCATGCAAGGCCTGAAACATGCAGAAGCGTAATGACTTTCAGGAAGAACTGAACATAATATGGGCCTTATGCTTTTTTATTTCCATGAATAAAAATAGGCTTCTATATTTTGTACAAGCTCTAGCTTCTGAACATGAAGTGAATGTCATAAATAAATCTGAGAAGTTATTAAAACCTAACTGATAATGGAAAAGTCCTTTCCCTGGAGGACAGCATTCTTCAGAATAACACCAAGAAGCATTTTGCATCATTAGGGTAAATCAGCCTGAGTGCAGGAACCTAAAGTTATGCCCGGGAGGGGAAGTCAAAGGTTTAAACAATTGGCAATTCTCTCTCTCTCCCTCTCTCTCTCCCTCTCTAATTTACTTTGCTTTTATTCCTTTCAGACTATTCATGTCAATACATTGATGATGATTACTGTGAGACACTGCTGAAGAGTTTCAAGTGCGACGTGAACTTTGTGCAAGAAAAATGCCCAGCCACTTGTAAATGCCCAAAAGATGCCGTACAAGTTCAAGAGATAGCTTGAGAGAGCTCTTTGTAGTTGAAAAAGAATGGAACTGAAGCATTTTAAAGCCTCCAAAATGCTTCTTCAAACTTGATCAAAATTTGCCATTTGAAAAGTACAAGTACAATAGTCCATAAACCACTTGCAGAGAGTAAAATGTATCCACCTGTGTCCTTTTTGTTCTCCAATTATTGCTTTTTTAAAATACTTTGAACACCTCCAATACACCCGTATAAATATAGCAGTACTCGTTGCTAATCCAGACCTTCTCTTCCTCCCCACCCCAACTTCATCCTCTTTGCTGCATAGAAGACTGCATGTCTGGCGAGTGTGTAAGATGTGGAGACAGCCCCAGGGAGCGCACCTGCTCCTTCAGAAACAACGCAGGCCCACCCATTGCTTGCCCAATGCCTTGAGTCCGGATTACGTTTAAGGGTTCAGGACCACACACATCATGCAGAAGAGTGCTATCGGGTTCTGTTCCAGGCTGCTAGAATCAGGAAGTGAAACGCTCCTTTCAGGGAACCTAGAACACTAACAGTTATGCAGCCAAATCATAGAATCATAGAATAGAAGAGTTGTAAGGGGCCATGAATGTATCGCAGGAAAGAAAAACGGAGAACTTTATGCAACAGACTGTCACAATGAAAGGTCACAGTATCTTCAAACGAACAGTGCAAGCAAGGGTTTCGCTTACATGGAATCAAATACCACCGCAGACCCCAGCCATGTCCCCAGGGGAGGCTTGGCTTTATGCCAGGGCTATGGAACCCCCTGGCCTGTGGGCTGCATCTGCCCTCCTAGCTCCCCAGTCCCTGGCACAGGGCCTTCAAGGACTACCTGGGATGAGGGGTGGGGTTGGCCCCCTGGCCTCGCATCCTACAGGAATACTGCCAGAGGGTTTTCTTGCAACGTCACTGTTCAGGGGGAAGAGGATTCTGGGGACATGCTCAGGGCTTGGGTTTGGGGTTCTTGTGTTTATCTCACTCTGAAGGTGGCAGAAGACAGTGTCCGGGTCTCCTGTTTTTCACTGCACAGTCATGTCCCCAGCAACCTGCACTCTCCCTGGTTTTCCACACTTCCCAGGGAAAGACATCCTGAGATAAATCCTTTCAGAAGGATCTTTCAGATCAGGAAGCCCAGATAGCCAGGAAAACTGCCGGGCAATGCAAAGATGTGCACGAAATGAAAGGGGGAAAGCACAGCTGCAGTGATGAGGTAAGCTCAAATATCACCAAGAGGTATTCAACAGAAATGGGAAACACCCTGAGAATGAGGCAGGTTTGACACAGCCCTTACACCCTTTCTTCCCCTGATGGAAGAGCTTAACATGATGAAACAAGTTTAACATGTTGTGGCTTTGCAATCAGAGATATAAAATTCCTTAAGACAAAGCATGAGCTGGCTAGGCATTTTTGCATTGCAAAGGAAACACAGTTTCCCTGATGGCTTGAAATCATTGCCTCAATGGCTGTCCAGCTAGGAGCTTGCCTTATCTGAGAGCAGGTGGATCGTTAGTGTAGCTTGAAGCTGTTGGGTTTGTAGCACAAGGGCCACTAAGCAAGCTATCAGAATATTAGGAGTGGGGTGGGGAGGTCATTTATACTCAAAGAAAGATGGTCATTCATTAGATCTAGCTACAGAGATTGTATCTGTAACCTATTCATGCAACCATTTGCTGGAACAAAGGAAGGAGGCTAACTTTCTATTTAAAGCTGTGTACAGTACGTATCAATATCTTTCACTGTACCTTCCTACCATGCACCTTGTTTATAGTTTTTTTTAATGTCTGCATAACAGACTGGATGCCTGAAATGTCAGAAATTGTCAGCACTATCAAATAGCATATGATGTTGTCATGGACTGTTAGCAAGCTCGCCCAGATAGCCTTCATGTGCATCATGTGTCTAATACATCCTCCAACACTAGGAGCCAAATGTTCAGTCCGGCATCCATCTCTTGTTAGTTCTTACATTTAAGGTAGGCATTATAAAACCTTTGAAGCGATGTGATGACCAACACACAAACTCCATAGAGCGCATGGCAGGCAATCCTTGGACTGTTTCCACTTAATAATCAACCATCCTTATGACCCAGGCTGACCCAGAACGAGAAATATCACTGCCCTGCAGATCTGGATTTGGCAGGGGCCTTTTGGACTTCTCCAGCTTGCTAAACGCATGCATGTTCAATACATTTCTTGGAAGGTGATTTCTGCAACGCATCAGTTGCCCCAAGCCCAATTCAGGACAGCCAGGGGCAACATAGCCTAGCTAACATGCTGTAAAATCATGTCACCAACATTCAGTGAGGGTGATGAGCTACAGTGCCCCTGAGATTCTCTTCCATTATTTAACTAAAGACAACTGAGGCTCCCTGTTAGAGCTGCTTTAGAAAGAAATCCCAGTGTGAACACAGAGTATTTTGCTGTTCCCCCTGAGGCCATAGACACCTCCACAAACTGGGAAGGGCAAAATCAAATGGGGATTGTTGCAGTACCAAAGAAAGACCTGCATGGTATCTTCACTTGACTTCAGAACTCGGGTGAGAATGCAAGTGAGGGTGGGATGGCGGGGAAGGGGGGTTATGCAACGCCTTGACACCTCCCAGCCTGTTCTTGTCCCTCTGACTCACTCAGAAGCATGTCTTGTTTAAAAAGGAAAGGGACCAGAGAGGAGGTTAGAGCGGTGCAGATCTCTTCCGCTGCTTCTTCAGCTCCGCTGGGTGCCTGCCAACACTGGGTTTTGGAGTGCCTCTCAGAGATCACAAAATCCACTCTGATAAACAGCTAAAAACTGACTTTTAAATGGTAATTCAGTTTAACAGAATGATTGACTGTAAGTACATGTGTATATCTATATACAGTACAGCCAACTTTTGGCAGGACACACGTATCCATCAAACACTGCAGATGCACCTTTCGGCCTGCAGCCACATGTCATCTTCATTTCCTAAGAACATCTCTTCGCCCCAGATGCCGCTGACAGGCATTCACAGGGAAAGAAGGTGGGAGCAGCTAGAAGACTTCACTTTACTTTGAAGCACTCCTAGCTGCCCAAAAGAAATTTCATGATTAAAAGAAGAAGACAGCAAGAAGTACCAAGAAAGTGTCCAAAGGCTGCCCTGCTGCACTCATCCATTCCATCGTGGACCGATGGACACATTGAAGGAACTCTAATTAGGAAAAAGTCCATCTTTAATATGTTCTTTCCACTCCCTCTTAATTGCACAATCCAGAATTAAAATAAGAAATGTGCCCTTAATGGTTTCCCAAGCCCCTCAATTAAAATTGGCTTTCATAATCAATTAACTGAAGCTTTACAGTGCCTTATGCTGGGCTCAAAGGGGCAGATTGACGGCCACTTTCAAAGCCCTGCAAGCCTGGGGTGATAGGTGTGTGTGAGGGAGAGCTGGGGTTACTTTTCTAGCTCTGCTCATCCCTGGAATTCCCCATTTTGCATTTGGCTGTCTTTCACCCTATGTTGTTTCAGACCTACAAACAAGCATGCTAAAAGCTTAAAGATGAAAGACTACCATTTCACATTGTTATTTGTGAAATAACTAATTCTTTGCTATGGTTTTCTGAAAATTCTTCAGTGGCTCATGAACTCATCTTTTAACCAGAGAGTGAGCTGGAGGAATACCAAAGCAATATTTTGATATCTTCATTTGCTTCCTGTTCGCCTTCCAGGCACATTCCTAGTGAAGGTGCAATTCTAGGCATGTTCAAACAAACAAGAACTCCCAGCATGCCCATGCCAACCAAATGCTGCTGCCTGGGGAGCACTGGGAATTATGGTGGGTGGAGGGTTCTAGCTCAACATGCATAGGCTTGCTGTGTTTATTCATCCAATGCAGACATTTACAGCCTTGCCCTTAAATCACATTTTTAAGCAGTTTGCATAAAATGAAGCAAAACAAATTAAATAACAAATAGTAATCAAACATTGACAACTTTTCTTGAAAAGACTTTTGTATCATCAAAGTTGGAAAATGCAGACACCTCTCCTCATGTCTCTCTGATTGACTAAGCTCCCTCACTCCCAGGCCAGTTCCAGCTGCTAAAGTTTTATCTTAAAACTTGTATGATATTCTCTTAATTTCAAAGAATACTTATTTTGTAAATCTGTCGTGTCTAAAACCTGATGATTAAAAGGGACATTTCTTTTAGAAAAGTATTAAACAGTTTTAATAAAAGCACTTATAGAACATCACAGTTGAGCTTTAAAGACACATTTCTTGCAAAACTATGAAACTTTAAAAGAAAAGGCATTTTGTCAAATCTAGTTTCTTTTCTTTTTCTTCTTTTTTGGAGTGGTACTCATTTACAAATCAGGAAATGTTCCTGCTATATATAAAGTCCTTCCAGTGCAATTTAGATGCAACTCTTCCTGCTATTCAAAAGAGAAAAGAACATCCTGGAGAAGGTAAAAGTTTCTCTCTCTTTCCTAAAGCAAAGGTTCGGAATTCAAGTAAATGTTTGCTAATAATTTTAAAAGCTTCTAAATCTCTCTCTCTCTCTCTCTCTCTCTCATACATGAAACCATATTTTAATTTACCATTAAAACACAGTAAGCAATGTGCTTTCATCCATATGTCTTATTTATTAATTAGATTTATATCCCACCTTTTTCCTTCCTTCCGTCCTTCCTTCCTTAAGAACTCAAGGCAGGGCAGCTCATTCTCCTCCTGCTGCTCTGAATCTTATCCTAACAACAACAGCCCTGTGAGGTCTGAGTCTGTGGATGGCCCAGAGACACCCAGTGGGCTGCATGGCTGAGCTGGGACTAGAACCCAGGTTGCAACCACTAAGCCATGCTGGCTCTCCTGTCTTTGGAGGCCGGCTTCTGGAGATGAGATCAGTTCTGTGGTGTTTCCCAGGTTAAGGGACTTCCTCCTTACTAATGTTTCAGTGTCAACTGAAGTCCTTCATGCTGTCTCAGTGTGTGAACACTGGATGAAGTGCTTCTCCCTCTTATCGGATTAACTGCAGTTTAGCTGCCAGCTCAATCTATGACTGTGCTACTGTTATTTTATTGTTATCCGAGTCTGCATAGAGGCCTTGAGGCTTAGACAGAAGGTGGGACAGAGATCCCTGTGCAAACCATCCTAAGTCCTTCCTGCACCTGGATTCTTCCAAGTCCCAGCTCTCTCCCACAATGCTTTGCTCCCCGCCCTGCTCCTGCAAGGCTGACGTGTGCTGGTTGCCCTTCTCGGGCCAGAACCGGGTGTCAGAGCGAGGAAAGGGGACGTGTGGGAAGCAGCGAGGGAAGAGGCAGGGGTGGATGCCAGCCAGCCTCTCAGCCTCTTTCCCTTCCCCTCTCTGGCATTCAGGAAGGCTACTGAAACTGGCCCTCCAGGTAAAATGTGCGGGGTCAGGAGAAACAGCTGCAGAGCTCTCCTCTGCTGCACCTTGTGACAGGCATCGGAGGCATAGAAGCCCCCAGGACTGTGCCCTCTGTCCCTGCATTTAGGGTTGGGTTGCATTAAACATCCGAGGTGACAATTTAATTGCTTAAAACTTTATATGCTGCCTGAAAAATGTGAGTTTCACTCTTGGGGCTGGGGTTTCTGTCACTACAGATAACTGTGCTGTTATTCATAGCAGCTGCAAATGCATCCAAACCATTCAGGCTGTGACTCTGAAAAGGATAAGCCCTGCAATTATAGTAGCATGCAAATATGTTTGGAGGTAAACTGCAAGCACCCAGTGAGAGAGAAGGATTGGGACTTCAGGGAGACACAGACCCGTGTGTGCCACCCAGCACCCACCCAGCAGGATGGTCACGCTATTCCAAACTGTCAAAGTGCACCTGCTCCAGAATGGGTACAAAAGTGTCAGGATTCACTGGCACGTCCCTCTCTAATACATAGGTTTGGCTACCAAAGTTGCTTCAGTCACCCAGTGCTTTTAAATCCTATGGATTTCAGCTGGAAAGAGGTGACTGCTTACTTCATTCCCACTGAAACCAGAAATACCTTAAAGTGATCATTTTTATCTGAATGTGCCCTTCTGGATTAGATCTAAAAATGATGTGGTCGGGGAAATGGCCTGATAACAGCTCCAAATTCGGGTTCCAGTTAAGAACTGCAAATTCAAATTACATGCAGTTTAAAAAACTATGGTAAGAGAGTTGCTGTCTGTTCAGGAGTCTGTCTCAAATATTACCTGCTAGACTGCTTTAGTGAGCTTTTTTCCAGCAACTTCAGTCTCATTATGTTAAAATGGGTCAAGTTTGTTCTTGCCCTGAGGCACTGCTGGCCGTGCCCATGAGAGACCTCTTTCATGCCAGCCCTGTCCTGTACAGGTGGGCTGAATCTGATAAGCCAGGCAAAAGTCACGGTCCCTCCCGCCAGATCTCACCTGAGAGTCACCCTGGCTCCCTTGCCGCTGTCACCCTGCGCTCTCACCCTTGGTCCTGGTGCTCTGCTGCCCCCTCCCACTCCCTGCCGGCAGTCGCCTGGCTGCTCTGCTCTCTTCCTCCCACCCAAGCAGGAAGTGACCCCTTTCTGTTTCTCGGAGCAGCATCTCGTCAGGTGGGCACACGGGGCAGCCGGGCGCTGGCTGCTAAGGTTCCAGCCATCCTGCTTCCCGGGGCACCTCTTGGCCCTTCTTCTGGAAAAGCAGAGGTGATGGAACTGGGTGGAGCCTCCCCGACAGGTGCTCTGCAGGGTGCTGCACTGGGGGGGGGGGGACTATGCATGAAAGAACAAACAGGATGTGGAGCTGTGCCACCTCAGCCACACAGGCAGCTGCCCACGCCCAGTGCTGGCCCAGCACCTGTCTCTTGCCCTGCTGCTCCGCACCACCTGCCTGTGCTCCAGCACCCAGCCCTGACGGAGCCAAGGCAGGGCACGGCGGGAGCAGAAGTCCATGCACTAGCAGGCTTTCATTCTGAGCAAGCCCGTTAGGCCTGCGACACATCATGGCCACAAACAGAGTCAGCAAGTACGGATTGTAATCACAGGTCTGTGTTGTTTTGTTTCCCCAGAAATGCTTCTCGCACTGGTCTGGCCTGTGGTTGCTGTGCTGCCTCTGTCCTTCGGAGAGGTACGAGCCAAACACCCGGTCAAAATTTCCCTCAGGCAGGTGGTCAGGCCATGGGGAACACGAGGCCAGGAGGGTGGGGGTGGAGCTGCACCTGCCAGGCCACCTCCCTGCTGCCTACCTGTTCAGCCTTTTAGGTGTCCAGGAGCACCTGCTCAGGAAGTGCCATGTCTGTGCTTTCCCATCAGAGACCCCACTGCCTCCCTGCACCCCATCCTTCCATACCACCCCCAGACTTTGCCCAACCAGCTCAGCCTTCACTGCTTCAGCAAGACCTCTCTTGCCATGAGCGATGGCGGCCTGGCTCTCCACTTCCACAGAGCAGGCAGAGCACTCTGCTTGCATGGCCAGCGCGGAAGAGGGAGGCCTCTGCTGCCTTGCGAAATCCCGCAGGGACAAACCCGGGGCAGAGAAACCGAAATGTACGTGCATGTATGTACTTGTGCAGGGAAGGCGGGGAAGGAACAGGGAATGAATGGCGAAGGGAGTGGCTGAAAACTGTGCCCGCTCACGGCAGGAGCCGCATTTGTGGAGGCTCTTGCCTGCGTGCCCAGAGAGGGAGCGAGTGACGGAGCGGGGATGGCGGCAAGTGAGAGCAGGAGGTGGAGAGCAAGGCCGAAGCGTGGCACACAGCACAGGATGCATGTTAGGACCGGGCGAGGAAAAGAGCGGCAGGTGCCCTTAGAATAAAGATACATAGAAACATAGAAACAGAGCAAGTCAGAAGGGGCCTCCCGGGCCATCTAGTCTGACCTCCGGCACCAGCCGACTCCGCTCACGACATGCCCACCATGTGCATGTTCAGCCTATCCTTGAACACCTGCACCGATGGGGCCTCAACGACCTCCCGTGGAAGCCCATTCCACACCCTCGGGGTCCTGGCTGTCAGGAAGTTCTTCCTGGCATCCAAATGGAACCTGGGTTCCCTGAGCTTTGCTCCCTTGGAGCGTGTCCTGCCTTCCTCTGCAGGGGAGAACAGCTCTCTACCCACCTCCGTGTGACACCCCCTCACATACCTGTATGTCACCAACAGATCCCCCCTGAGTCTCCTCTTCTGCAGGCTGAAGAGGCCCAGTTCCCTCAGTCTCACCTCATACGGCATCCCCTGCAAACCGGCCACCAACCTTGTGGCCCTACGCTGCACTGACTCTAACCTGGCTATATCCTTCCTGTAATGAGGGGCCCAAAACTGAACACAATACTCCAGTTGCAGGCGCACCAGAGTCGTACAGAGTGGTAGTAATACCTCTCTCGATCTAGAAGTCACACTTCTGGCTATGCAAGCAAGGGTGGCGTTCGCCCTCTTGACCACCGCATCACACTGCTGACTCATGTTTAGCTTGCAGTCAACCAGCACCCCGAGGTCCCTTTCACAAGTGCTGCTCTCCACCCACTTGTCGCCTAACCTGTACTTATGACACCCATTCCTATGCCCCAAGTGCAAGACCTTGCACTTATTCACATTGAACCCCATCCTGTTGTCTCCTGCCCACTTCCATAGTCTGTCCAGATCCTTTTGGATCTGGAGTATCTGCTCCTCAGTTGTGGTCACCGCTCCAGTTTTAGTGTCATCTGTGAATTTGAGCAGCAGACTGTTCACCCCTTCTTCCATGTCATTGATGAAAAGATTGAACAGGATCGGCCCCAGGACAGAGCCCTGGGGGACCCCGCTTGTCACTGGCCGCCATCCCGATGATTCCCCGCTAATGGTTACCTTCTGCTTTCGGTCAGTCAACCATGCCCTAATCCAAGGAAGCACTCGTGTTTGCAGGTGGGGGGAAAGCAGCTGATTGAACGTTCGTGCAGTATCGGCACTGTTTGGTGGCCTTTTCATGGCACCAAACTTAATCTTCCGTTTTGTAGTCTTTGGCTTCTGCAGCCCCCATCACTGCTCCATCTGGCTGGCTATGGTGACCTATGTGATATGGCTTGTGACATCAGTGATGCCACTGCACCTGATGTGACGTCCTTGTGACATTATGGAGGAACTCATGTGGGTCACCGAGGGCAGGGCAGATAGTGCAGGTGAGCGAGGCTGAGGACTTTGAGGGCAAAGAAGAAAAGGGTAAGAAAAAGGAGGAGGAGATGGGACCAGAAGAACAGCACTGGAAGCATCAGTACAGACATCGCCAAAAATGAGAGACACCATTTCCCCCTCAAAAGCCAACATGGAATGCGTTGAGCATGTCTGCTCACCCCTAGTGGAAAAGGGCTGCTTCTCCTGACCAGCCCTGCTGGGCCCCGAGAAGGAGCCATGGGGGACATGGGTGAGGCCCTCACCACCCAATAACAGCAACAAGGAGCTCTCTTACTCGGTGGGTAAGATATGATGGGTCTCCGAGGTCAGGCAAGGTGGTTGCGACCGTGGATGTGATGGAATTCATGTGGCAACTTGAATTGGATTGCATGGTGACTGCACACATACAAAGATTCTGCCTTGCGGTAGCCTGTTGGCATATCAGCATGAACTCTTATTCCTAGCATGAAAAAATCAAAGTATCAAATGTTGCAAATAAAATATTCTAGCGTAACTCTTTTTTAACTTTAGGAATATCCAGGTATAGCAAGTGAACTCTCAGAAGAGATAAAGACAGAGATTCTTGACAAATTTAATAGCATTAGGAGATCGGTGCAGCCGACTGCCAGTAATATGTTGAAAATGGTAAGCTACTAGTCAATATTTTTGCCAACTGTTTGAAAGGAGTCCCTTCAGGCAAAACTTTTCCCCCTTTGTAGCTTCGCAGGCACTCTGGACATATTTTAGTTTCTTTGATTGATTTGTACTTTTTCTATTTGCATAATAGATCACTTGCTGAACTCTCTGGCTCAGTGGCTTAGAGCATTTCTCCTCTCAATCTTAATATTTCCATCCCCAATATGCTCACAATACAGGATCATCTAATGATTCTGGGAAATAAAAGAGGCCAAGAGAAATAAAATGGTACAGTAATGATACAATCTATTTTAAAAAACAAATTAAATCATTCAACGTCAGAAATAACCAATCCCAGGTGCACGCATCTTACAGACCCTTAGAATTTAGAATGAAGAGGACTCATTGGTTTAAAACAGTGCTGCAAAGTGGGCTAGACTGACTGGGGGGCAGGTGTCTCTTGAGCTTTGCTCAGAGGTAACTCAGGCTTCAACCCCCGATCCTGAAATATTCCCAATCCCCAGCCCACCAGCCCCAAATTGCACTGGTGGCATGCTGTGCTTTGCTGAGCAAGTAGCAGAGCTCAGGCCTAGTTTTACTGATCCAATCTAAAATGGAAGGCTGAAGTATGTCAACTTCAGCCTTCTCTGCCTGGGTGTTACTTCCTGCCAGCTGTTCATTTTACTTACCTGTCTTTCCTTCTCTCTGTCCTCCATTCTCTGATGTGGCAAACTCTTTCTCTGCCAGTTCTGGGCTGCTAGCTGAGCATTCTTACCCACCTGTCCTAGCCAACCCCACATCCCTTGGCATGTGGCTGTCCCAAACCTGTGACCTCCTAAACTGAACCTGCCCCAGGCTAACCTGCTGCTTGGTGAGCCATCCTAGTAAGCCGTTCTGCCTGCTTTGCTGCTCTTTAAGAGCTAGGATCTGATTCACGCTGCCTTTGTTTTGACACCGGAGCACCAGCAACAGCACCATTGCAGTGAATTGCAGAAGTAATTAATCAGCCTCAGGCCCAGGCTTCCAGCAGTTGCTCAGTCCATCTTCACCAAAATGCCTCTTTTAGGACAAAATATGTTTAGAAATGTGTACTTCAGGAGAAAGTACCTTTACAAACGTGTGCTTTGGGAAAGTACATTCAAACTGTGTATTGAACTACACATTTTGTACAGTAACAGCACATTAGTACAGAAAAGGGGCAGGACATTAATATGAATAAGCCCATGGGAAACTGACACGGAGTGGAAGTAGAGCCATTCATCCTTACACTGAATTGCTTAATTACTGGAATCATAGTTTCTGAGTCATGGGAAATATTTAGATCCACCTTAATCAGACCTCATATTGTGTATTATGTTCAGTTCAGGGCAGAGTGACTTAGGAAAGGCGTAGGCAAATTGGAATAGGCTGAAGGCAGCAAATGAAGACAGGCAGGAACTTTTTAAAAAATGGTTTGAGGAACAAAATTAGGTGAATTTGGTCTGGAGAAGAAAAGAGGCATGATGGCATACCTTAAATACCCAGAGGGCTGTTACATGAAAGAGCTTAGATCCACAGCCCAGAGGGCAGGACTACTTTAACAGGCTTAAGTTACAAGCTGGTAGATTTTGATTTAATAGGAAAAAGCGATGCTTATTTCAACAGAAGTGGTATGTGCCCATGCTTAAATTCCTCCCATTGAAATGCATGGGAAGTGTATAGTCCTGGCTGAATTATGCTGATAACTTTGAGATCCAGTAGTTAAAAGGAGGGGATGCTAATCTAAATCATTTGCCCTATGGTTCTGTCTGTCTTCAGTGCTAAAGGTCACTCTAGCCCAGTAAGGGAAAGCACATGGGGTTCCACATGGATACTGGCCCACAGGTGCAAATTGGTGCTGTGGGTGTTTTGACCCTCTTAGTGGCATCCATGACACCTCTTTTAAGAAGCTAAACTCCTAGTGACCGGCTGTTTGGGATGAGAGGCAGTGTTTGGGATTCAGCCTCCTGCAGAAAAACTGCTCCATTATAATAGGTGTTGTGCTGCAGCTAAAATATCATTTCCTCCACCTTTTTTGTTGGTTTGTTAAGACATGGAATGAAAGAGCTGCTGAAACTGCTAAAAACTGGAGCAGGAAATGTCAACCTCAAAGATTTCCTAGAGAGGAACGAAAGGTGGATGGTAAGTGAAGTCCCTAGATGAAGCTATGCAGAGAATAAGTAGATGTAAGTGTCGCCATGCGCTCATGCCTTTAATGCAAAGTGCATTTGAATAGATTTAACCCCTGTCCAGGCATTTTGATTCTGGGTAGAATAAGAGTGTGCCAGCTCTGCCTTCCCCCATTTCACAACCGCTGTCCTAAACTGCCATCCTGAGACGCCTGTAAAGGATGGGGTGAAAATGCTTTAAAGCAGGGGTCGGCAACCTGTGGCTCCGGAGCCGCACGTGGCTCTTGAATCCCTCTGCTGCGGCTCCATCACTCAAACCACGTGCCGGCACAGCCGCCCGATCTGTGACGGAGGCTCCGAGTTACAAAATACCAATAGGTGATGATGAGGCATCCACTCAGGAACCCCAGCTAGCAAGTTAAGTAAATTGCTACATTCCTCTGCTATTGTGCAGGGAAAGAGTGGAACAAGCTTCCTGCAGGCTCTCATGTTACTCAAACCCTGCTGAAAAGATTCTCTTTGTCCCAATGTAATCTCCTTCATCTGAATGTTAAAAGCTGCGCTTGGGACCTGTCACAATTCACAGCACTTGACTGTTTATCTGCTAATCAGTCACTAAACACACCTATATCTGTGACCCACGCCAGCACAACCAACAATCTGGATCTGTGACTCGTGCCGATTTACTGAGCTTTTCCCCCCAGTAGGCCAATCATGGATAAATCGAAGAAAAGTTTCTGAAGAAAACTGAATGTTTAATGGTACGTGGGTAGATTCATTTGCTTTTACTGCTGATGAACTTATGGGGTTTGCTGTTTAATGCATGCAACCCTTTAGCACTGACTTTGACTCTGCAGGAAGCTGTTCTATTCAAAATATATGAAAGGAATCCTACTAGTTTATAACGTAAGATTAAAAATAAAAGTTTTTAGTGACTGAACAAGAGCTGCAGCTAAATCATAATGAAGATATAGATCTATTTCCTTGTTTTAAGAAGATTCTTACAAAAATTCCCGCAACATTATTACACTGGGAGAGGATGTTTGTTCAATATTTCACCAGACTATTATTTATATTGGTTGTATCTCAGAAACTCTACTTACTGTATGAAAGTATCAATTAGTCCTTTTTAATTCAGGTTGACAGCTGACTGCACCCTCCAGTACACATGATAAAAGGATGAGGGCACACAGAAGCAGAGCGCATTTTTGGTTTGCTGCAGGTGGATAATTTAAGTTCGGCTTTTTATTTCATAAATATGAGGAGGACTCAAATAGACATTGAGTATTTTATTTGAAAGTAACCTTCAACATCTTTTTTTTTTTGGAGTTTTTGTTTCATGCAGAAATAAAAATTTGTTTTCTCTGTAGCAGTTCATTGATTTCATAAATGCAACACACTATAGTTTTTTATACATAGCATAAAGGTAAAAAATGATATCTGTAATGTTATCTTCATTTGAGATGTCAAAAGGGTTTTGCGGCTCCTGATGTTTTTTTTTTTTCTGTGGGAAACGGGTCCAAATGGCTCTTTGCGTGTTAAAGTTTGCCGACCCCTGCTTTAAACAAATGAACAAACACAAACAAACAAACGGGAACACGGCAACTCTCTGCAGAAGGGGGCCCCCTTCTGGATCCACAGAGGCTGTGCACACAGTCAGCATGCCTGAAGGGGGCTTTACTCGACCACATACCCAGCGCTGCAACGTAATAGACGATCTCTAAGCCTGCGTGGTGGTGATGGCAGCACAGGAATCTGACTTGCTGCCACCATCTCCACTTCTCCACCATACCTGCCTGCTGAGCTATTTGGGCTAGTAAATCTGAAGTGCTTTTTCCCCACTGTGGCAAATACAACTATGGCCTTATCTGGATTGGCAGAGTCTAACCAGGGCTGCTCATGCGCAGGTAACATCCTGACTGGATTGCTGTAATGTGCTCTATGTAGGGCTGCTTTGAAGACGGTCTGAAGACTTCAGCTGGTCCATAATAGAGCTACGTTTCTAGTGTCCGGTTGTCAGTCTGCATGCCCACATAACATCTATTCTGTGCAAATTACATTGGCTGCCGGTTGAAGTCTGGGCCCAAGTTGTGCTTGCTTTAACATACAAAGCCCCACACTTGGGGCCTGGTTACTTGAAGAACTTTCTTTTCCAATCTGCTCCTCGTTAAGATCTGGGAATGAAGTTCTTCTGAGAGAGCCATCCCTAAAAGAGGTAAAGGGGGTGGCATTTAGAAGAAGAACCTTCTCAGTGGCTGCCCCAACCTTTGAAATGGGTTTCTGAAAGAGGTCCACCTGGTCCTATCTCTACTTTCATTTCAGCACCAGGCAAAACCTACCCTCTTTCACAAATTCTGGAAAACCTCATTTTAAACCCTGATTTTAAGTGCTTGCTCCATTCCAATAGTTTTCCTTCCCACTTCCCCTGTACTTGTACTATTTGTGTATTGCTAGCCACTTAGGGAGGCTATTGAGTGGGATATAAATTTGAAAATAAATAAAAATAAATAAATTGTCTTCCCCCAGAGATCTGGTGCAGGATCCACCCAAAACTTGCAGTGGCCAGTTTGCCTTGTATTTTGTGCATAAGGCGACTTGCATTCACACCAAAGTGGACGCTGGACTTATGACTAGGTTTAGGATGGAAGTAGCTAGAGTACCATCTAATCTGCTTGTTAAGCATACCTTCTCGCTTGCACAATCTGGCTGTTTCCACACTGGGACCTCTGAAATGTGTTTTGCATGGGGCTGCCTCTCAAAACAGCACGGGCGTTTTCCTTGGTGCAGAATGTGGCTGCCCAGATGCTAAAGAAGGGAGAAAGTCTGAATATGTGACACCATGTTTATGTTAGTGGCACTGAGTATGTTTCCATGCACAGTTTAAAGTACTGGCAATTTATTTATTTATTTATTTATTATATCTCTGTCCCACCATTTCTCCTTTCAAGGAACTCAAGGCAGCTTACATAATTCTCCTCCTCTAGTCTTATCCTCAGTACAACAGCCCTGTGAAGTGGGTTGGGCTGAGAGTGTGGGACTGGCCCAGAGACCCCCAGTGAGCAGGGCCACAGCCCAGATCTCCTGCATCCCAGCCCTGCACTCTTTACCTTCTCATGTGCCTTCCATTGATTAGGGTGGCAACTGCATTAGATCGTCTCCTCAGGGGTGTTCACCTCAGTTTCGTGGAACTCATTTACAATTAGGGCTTGCTTGACTCTTTCAGAACAGCATTCAGGAAACTTTTTTGCTACAGTGTTTCCATAAATGAATTGAGAAATCAAGTTAATTGTGGGCAGCTTGTGCTTATACAGTCTGCCACTATGTAATAAATATTTCTATTTAGTGTATTATTTGCAGGTGGGAGGAAGATTATGGTCTAAATATCTAGATTAAACTGCTGCAATTTTCTAGTTCGATTGTACAACTGTCTGTACAACTGAATTTCTTCTTCTTGCAGGAATTTTATGTGGTGAGACAAGGTTGCGAGCAACTTATCCTAGCTCCTGGTCAGATGTAATTGACACATGGAATCAAAAAGCATCTAACTTTGAATATGGAGTTGGAGCAATCAACCCAAGAAAAAACATTTATTTTTATACTCAGGTATGAACAGAGATCTCATAAGTATCTTATGTTATGAGAATTAAACCTATAAAATTGTACATAATGTACAGAATATTTGCTCTTTGATACTAGTTAAGCAAACTATCCTGGATCTGATCTGTATGAAGCTTTGTAAATGTATGTAAGTTGGCATGGAAAGACGCTGCTTGGCTGTAAATTGGGATTTCTGAGCACGCACCAGGGCTTCTCCCAGCCCGCTCCATACACAGGCCTTGCATTGCAGTGAACTGTGTAATTCAAGCAGGCCTTAACTGTCTTCTGCTCTCACAGCAGAGGAGTGTGTGTCTGATTCCCATAGTCCAGTTCATGAGGTCATCAGAAGCTTTTTCCTGTCAACCTCTGCCATCAAAGACAGGGTGACTATTTTATTTATAGTATTTGTAATTCACTCAGTTACAGATATATGGCTGGATTGCAAACAGTTACTACTTTTCTAGGAAGCACCTCTGGAGACCATTTGTTTCTCATATTAAGTTTTGCAAAGTAGTTAAGATGCACACACACGCAAATAACTAGTAGATGCTTCTGTGATTTCAGCAATAAAATCAGTAACATGCAGTAATCGAGCTACTGGATAATGGACAATTATCACTAAAGAGTATAAAAATAAAAAGGAAGGTATATAAATGTAAAAATAATTTATAAAAATTAAAAAGGAAGCAGTAGATGGAAACACTACATTAGGCTATAAACTACTTCCAAATACAAATGGAACTTGAGCTGTGTACTGTAGGAAAATTTTTTTATTTTATTTATTTAATAAAACATTTTTATGCCGCCCCATTTGCCGAAGCCTCGGGGCGGCTTACAACAATAAAATCCAAGAAAGGTATTTATAATAGTATGATAAATATTATATATTAATATGATTAAGGCATCAAATAGTAGCACAGAGGAAGCTCATGAACCATGTGGGCCAAGAATGATAAGTTTTAAATTTCTGGATAGTAGAGCTGCACCAGGCCCAGGAACACTAGAAGAGGGCTGCTAGATTAGGCTGAGGCCTTCCTGTTTCAGCATTTGGTTCCCACAGTGGCCCATTAGAAGTCTGTGGGAAGCCACGAGTGGTGTATGGAGGTGTTGGCAGCTTCCTATTTCTGTTCTCAGCAACTTGCATGCAGGGCACAGAGGTGTGTCCTACTCCAAATCCACCCAATTCCTGCTCAAACATCCCATTTTAATGTGACATCAAGTTTGACTCTGAGCTGCCAGTGACCAGTCAAACTCCCTTTGCCTTTTACAAGGGGGCTGAGCCTTCTCCTGGCCTTGAGAGGATTTGGGAAAAGCAGAGTGTCTCCTCCAGGAGCACTCAAGAGGCAGAATGGCCACAGTTGAGGACCTTGCTGAGGATGGGGCAGGGGGTCCTCCCAAGCACCCTCTTTCCAGTACTGGATCCCCCTCGGCTTCAGCTTCTCTTAGCAGATCCACTTCCCCAACCTGTCGAAGGAACTGGGGTGGCCTGGAGATACGGACTGGTTTTCAGGCGGTGGCCTGGTGCTTGCTGCCCCTTAGCAGTGGGCAACTCTGCAGGCAAGCCACAGCCCCAGGATGAAGACCACCCTTCTGTGCTCAGGGAGCCAATGCACGGGCTTGAAACTTAACCCTCCTGGGGCTCAACCCTATGGGCAAAAGCAACAAAACCAAAAATCTGCACAATGAAAGGGTGCTGCAGAGACCCACTGCATATGCATTTGCATGTCCAAGATGCTTCACATGCAAGCCAGAAAAGAGATACATGGACAGGATACAGTACATTGGCAAAGAAATCAGGATTGCCACTCTGTAGGGCTTGAGCAAAACCAAAGCGTAACTGAAAACTTGCATTATATGGGTTAAGAAGAACCCTCCTTCTTTGGAGCTGATTATGTATTTCCTAAGATTTTACAAGTCCTACTCTTCCTTTACAAGATGGCAAAACTTGGGCTTTAAGTAAAAGTGGAAGGTTCACATGTTCTTTCTTCTTGTGTTCATAGATCATTTGGCATGATTCACATCAGATTGGATGTGCACTTGTCTACTGTGGATCGAATGAGTACCGTTTCTCTTACGCGTGCATTTACTGTCCTGTGTAAGTGGGCGTTCTTCATTCACCACGCTTAGGAGCCCCGTGCGTTCAGTGGCAGACAAGCTGAGTTCACACATGCATGCACTTTCCCACTCATTTCAGTGGAGGAAGTGGATCCGAGTAGCAGGGGAAGGGTGCTCTTGCCAGCCTGCAGATCTGGCTGAACAGCGGAACTGCTCTTGCACATAGCGCTGAGGAGAAGTTCAGCTTTCATGCTGGACCCCAGAATCCATAAAAAGGTATTGCAAAAGCCTTTCTGATGGAAACCCTGTGATTTAGCAAGTACTGTCTCCACTGCAATTGATATTATATTGATATTATAATTGATATTATATATTGATATTATATATTGATATTATAATACCGATGCAAGGAATACAATGTGTTGATATCATTGGCGAATAAACAAAACTAAAAGTGAACTGAACGTATCCTTTCCTTTTGCATTCCCACACAGAAGTCAGCTGGGGGCAGGGGGCGGAGTTCTCAGAGTTTGGCGGGACCAAACTCACATTACTTTTTAAGTATTGTTGTGAGAAGGGAATTTAAATACCAATTTAAAGTTAAACACATACTCATGCAGCTTTTTGTTCGGTCCAAGGTTATTGAAGACATTCTGCATAATTTTGCTTTCATTTAAGAACTGTACTGTGATCATCAATGGATGACATTGCTTTGCAATTGCAGAGGGAACCTAGCAGAGGAAGTTGCAACACCCTACAAAAAAGGCCCATCGTGTGGAGACTGTCCTGATACCTGTGAGGATAAACTCTGCAGTAAGGTACTGGTGAGCTATAAATCAATGCCTTCAGATAATATTCATCCTCTCCTAAGGAAGCCAGGGCTGTTGCCCCTGCTGTTGCCTCCCAGGAATGGTGGGAGACAGCAGTCGGGGTACAAAGGCGAGAGCTAGAGGCCGCTCAGTCTGCTTTGCACCTGCTAAGGTTGTCCACTGCCTCCGGATGTCCCACTGCTGGAGCTGAAGAAAAATTCAGCTGCCGGTCTAGTTAGTTTCTCTACAGGGAATAGGGACCCAGTGCCTTCTTGTCCTTTGCATCTGAAAGTCATAAATGTAAATACCTCCAAACGCCCTTACATTCCTACAGCCTTTGCATGGAGAAAGGGGGGCAGTCATGTACGCCATTTCATGACATGCCTGCCATGGACATGCACATGGTACGCATGCCATGAGTGGAGCCGGCTGGAGCCAGGGGTCAGACTAGATGGCGCAGGAGGCCCCTTCTGACTCTCTCTGTTTCTATGTTTCTGTTACTCAACCAGTGTAGATGTATGTATTTGTTTTCTCTGGTTTCTTATAATGTCTTGTGCCGGAGAGTCAAGACTAATACTGACCACACATTCTCCTAATCTCTCTAAAGGCACAGGACGACGCAGGAGACTAAAAGGAGTTTGCCGACATACACTCTGCCATCCTGTGGAAGTTTATGTCGGCAGATGCAACAACGGAATGGGAAATTGCTGTGTGGATGATGCTGAAGACATTCGGAAACACATAAAGTAGAACCCCCGCTGGTAATGGCAGGAAGAAAGGCTAAGCAGTTCAAAACAGTACTTGTGATCCTAGACTTCAACCTTTGTCAGAGGCAAAAAGGCATCTGGTGTTCTATGTTGTTGTAATAAACACTGTCCAATATTATGAACCATGTATTTTCTGACTCACTCTGTTTCTGTGTTTACACTGATCTCATGCTCTAGGTTTGGGGGTTTCCATGGGAGTAAATCCCACCATTAGGTTGCACTGGCATGCCATTCATCTTGAGTACGCTCCCCTGAAAGTAATGGGGCTGATTTGTGAACAGCTGTGTTTCCGGTTGCACACAAAGACTGGTTAGCACATAATGAGAAGCCATAATAGATGAATTTCCCTGTCGGGCTTTTTGTTGCATCAGCAGCTGATTCTGAATTTTTGCAGAATGGCGAATGTTGCTCTGTAAGAGTGGGTTTGTAGGGTGGTTGACAAACTGCTTGCACTCTAAGAGCCGGTGTGCTATAGTGTTTAAGAGCACATGACCGGGACTCAGAAGGTCAGAGTTCTGGTCCCCGCTCAGCCATGGAGCTCCCTGGGTGACATTGGGCCAGTCACAGACTCTCAGCCAATCTACTGCAAAGGGCTGTTGTTTGAGAATAAGACTGAGAGGAGGATAATTATGTGAGCTGTCTTACATTCCTATGAATGAAAAAGGTGGGATTTAGATGTAATAATATTTTTTTTAAATGAAATGGTCCATGGATCCTCCAACATCCCACCCTTGCTGGCCTCACACATATGAAGAAGCTGCTGGAGCAGGGCTTGTTTTGCTAACTGGTGTGTGAGGGCGCGCAGGCCACAATAGCTAATAGGCCGTGGTTGGCAGCACTGGTCATGTGCACCAAGTCACAAAACACTGTATTTCGAGCAACTGTGGGAGGGACCTCCCAAGGGAGCAGAACCCAAAGGCAAGACCTGTTGCTGAGACCTTAGAATTTCAAAATTTTTCATGTTTCCAATTTCACCCAGAAACAGTCGGTCAGGTAGTGGAGTTAAGTGCCAGCTGAGTGATGTTGTTCCTTGGATTTGTTACTGATGCACTGCACCGTATTCTCCACCACCTTTAGCTTCCAAATATTTCCAAGGACAGATAAAAAAATCAAGCGTGAGCAAATCAGTAACAATGGCCTTTAGGACAGACTGCTTTACAGTGAAGTCCACTCATAAATAGGGGGAGAAATACAGACTTTAAAAGTTGGTGTTTCCTTTTGCATTTAACTTTTTAAATTTCATTTCTTACAGCCCAATCATGCAAGTATTTTGATAACTTAGCTGACTGCAACCTGTTGCTAAATATGTTCTCCTGTGAAAATAATATCATCCTAAACCTGTGCAAAGCCACTTGTAAAGCCACAAAGCCCTTTGGAAACAAGGTAATTTACCCATCAGCAACCATTCAAATATAATGTTTTTAACAGAAGAAGACAGGCATTCAGCATGAAAAGGACATTTAAGTTTTTTCTTTTAAACTTGGTCAGAATTTAGCATTTGAAATTATTAGCATGAAAAGAGGGCATTTCTAAGAGCCATTTCCAAAGATGGCTTCATCAACTCCACTTTTGTTTGTTTATTATACCTCTTTAGAAAATGTTTTGAATCCTTCAAAATTAAATGTTTGAATCCTGCAAAATGTTCACTGATATGCCCCCCCCCATCAATTTCTACTTCAAGATTACAGTTCTTAGTAAAGCAGTAACTGAAAGACACTGTGCTGTATGCTCGTCAGGAAACCATCCATTAAGGCCGGATATTAATTGATGTATGTTTGTGACTCCAGATTGGCATTTCCATTATTTTCTTGTTCTGTTACATTGTTTCAATTAGGCACGGTTGAAATAAGCTTCAAAACACTGGGGTTAAAGTCTTAAGTTCCATTCATTTGCCTCAGAGTATATTCCTTGTTGCAAAGCTTAAAATAACCTAGCTAGACATGTGCATTCTGGAACGTCATATCATGGCTGCTTTTAATTCTCTAACATTTGAGTCAGAAAGGAAAATGAGGGTTGGAGCTCTGTAGCAAGCAGAGGGCCACGTCCAAAGTAGCCATGAGGGCACTGAGAACACAGCTTTACATCTTGTGGTAGATTGGGAGTGCATGGATATTTTCTTTCTCCTCCAATAAAGTGCAACTGCATGACTGAAAAAGTACACTGAACAAGTGAATCAGTAAGAAACTAGAAATTGGCCTCATTAAGATGGTTGACTGCAGCTGACAAAAAAGAAGCCGGGAGTGGCTTTGCCCAACATGACTGCCCACCCTGGGAAACCTACCAGGGTGGGCTGCTGTATTGTGCAAACCTTACCCACTTCCCACTGGTGGCTTGTCACACCACTCTGCCAGCAAAGCTTTGTTTTATGGGTTGCCATGTTGCCTGGATCCAAGTGAGCAGCCCATCCTGACCTGTGGCAAGAGTGGCAAAAGCTCCTTACAGCTTTTACTGAGCTTGCCTAGGCCACCGCTAGGGGCAACCACTCTGTAGCACTTTGAAACCAATGAAGGAGCCTGATTAGCTTAACAAACCCTATTTGCTTTTTGTAAAACTGCTTGCTTTGGAGAGGAAAAAGGCAAGAAGGAGCCTGGTTACCTGAAGGAGCGCTTGCATCCATATATGCCCAGCCGCCCCTTGAGATCGGCGGGGGAGGCCCTTCTCCGGGAACCCTCCATGAAAGAAATTAGGAGGGTGGTTACTCGGAGGAGGGCTTTCTCTGCGGTGGCGCCTAAGTTATGGAATGCGCTCCCCAGAGAGGTCCGCCTGGCACCGTCGTTATTTGTTTTTCGGCGCCAGGCGAAGACCTTTTTATTCAAGCGGCATTTTAACTGTTAATATTATTGGATTTTATCTGGCCAGGGCGGCTTATTTTATACTGTATTGTTGTATTTTTAATTTAATATTTATATTTTTAATTTATATTATAATTATTTTAACTTAGTGATGTAAGCCGCCCCGAGGCTTCGGCAAATGGGGCGGCATAAAAATGTTTTAATAAATAAATAAATAAATAAATAAATAAATGAATGAATGAATGAATGAATGAATGAATGTTGATAAAGTAAGACAAAGAGGTAGTGTGACGAAGACCCCCTAGGCAAGGTCTGGCACTCAGTGATCAGAGGGGATTAGATAAACATACATGAGGTCAGACATGCAAGGGTCAAGCAGACCCTGAGAGGGGATTGGGTGAGGGAACAATGGGGGCGAGATTAAGGAAAGAGGTATAAGAAGGATGAGTTGGTGAAATGTGGGGTGTGTTGCTTCCTGTCTGCGTGTAGGAAGCAGACACCCGGTTGCTTTGCTCAGCTGAATAAAAACTGAACGAATCTCCACCTGACTGAACCTCATTGGCACTTGGTTTAGTGGGTCTGTAAGTCACCTGGCTAGCAGGGACCTCAACACAGCAGTCACTTACTCCCTCTTGCTCTGATTACAATTCCTTTTGCCGTCACCATGACTTCCCTCACATACCCCCCACTCTTTCTGAGATTGCTTTGTTGATCTCCAGAGGGGCTGCCAGTGACAGACTCTCCAGACCCCACAGGACTCAGGATGGGCCCAGGCTGTAGTGCGCCCTGGAGGGAAGCCCCTTCAGCCCACTGCTGCAGCACGGAGCCTCTGCTCCTCCTGCTCACCGTCCTGTGCCCTCAGGCAGACCAGCCCCACAACCAGTCCATGGATCGCCTTAGAGCTGGCTTATCCTGAGAAGGACTAATGTGCTTCTGCTTCTTACTCAGTTGAAATCGGCTGTTCTGAAATGGGAGCTCAACTTGTTCTGAGCAATCAGACCTGAGCAGTATTCCAATGCTAAGAGATGTTTCCTACCAGCAAGCCAGCTAACAATTCTGGACTATGAAGAAGTCCTTAATAACCGTGAGGATTGTAATATCCTTGTTATGTCATGCTACCTTACATTATGGGGGCTGGGAGAGAAATATAAAAAGGATCTATAACAGGGGTCTCAAACTCAGCTTCCCTGGGGGCCGCTGGAAGTAGAGTCTGGGTGAGGCTGGGCCTCATCAAGTATTCCACCCCCGCGGTGGTGGTGGGCTGCTCATCCCGCATGGCTCCCAGAGGCCGGTGGCGCTTTGAAGGCCGCAGGGCCCCTCCCCCATGCCCCGCCCATCCCGGCAACTGGCCACGGGCCGCGAGTTTGAGACCCCTGATCTATAAGGACATGGTCCTGTTTGTTCCTGCAGTAGATGCTAGCAAGCCTCCAAACTCTGACTGTCCAGAGCAAAGCTCTGGTACAATGACAGCAACCTCCACAGCAACCTCCACTGCTGCCGGCCAGCAGAGCACCGCCTCCTGCCCTTTATCTAGGTAGCCATTTTTGGCCATCTCAATGTAGCCCCTGGGAGAGGGTGGGAAGGAGGCCGGGGCACCAGCTGGTTCAACACTGTATCCCCAGTGTTGGCCACAATGGGGTTCTGCCCTGGCGTGCCAGCCCAATGATACACGACAGGAGAGTAAGAGTAGAGTAGATTTACTCTGCAAAAGAAAGGTCCCCTGCACCTCACGGTTGCAAAAGCCCTGTTCATACCTCTCACATCACTTACTGTATATACCTTTCTGCACAAATGGGCTTTAATGTCTCTCTCCCTGCCAGGAAAGGTGTATCTGCAAAGCTCTTAGGTTCACTTACAAGTCAATCCAGGTTGAAAAAATAAAAACACTTTTTATATGCTCAGCGAAATGGCAAACATTGCATAGATTTATATTTATTTATTGAAAATGTCCCCTTGTACCAAGTGCAACAAAACCCAAATGCTTGTGAAATCAGTTATGGGATGGAGTAATGAAGTAATGCTTTATACACTTTCTATTTTCCATTCAGATAACCCCACCTCCCAAATATGTTAATGGTCAAGACCTTATTTGCTCAGAAACAAATCCCATTCAATCAATGGGACTTATTTCTAAGTACCTGTGGTAACCATGAACCGCAGCAGCCATTGGTGTTAATTTAAATGTAAGCCTTGTTTGACTTACACTTTATTTGGCTGCTCAATGAAAAAGATGTGGATCATCTTTCTGCAGCTCCATTTTATGGAACCATGTTAAATAGGAAGGCCTTTCACAGAAATGTCCCTGGGAAGAGCCTCTAAGCTCAGAGCAAGAGCACCTCCCCTCTCTCCTCATGCACACACAGATTCAGGCAGCAGGGTTGCTGGATATGCCCTCCCTGTTTGGAGGCAGCATACATGTGCTTCCAAGAGCAAGAAGGAGCTCTCCTCTAGCACTCTGAAATGGTCGCATCTTCTGTGCAAGACCACAGGAGAGCCTCCTTCTACAGCGTAAGAGGAAGAAAGAGTCCTCATTTCATGGATATCATCGTTGCCGGATCACCCGAGAGCCTCCACATGCAGAAGTAGCTTACTTTGTAAGAGGAAGAAAGAGATTCCCCCTGTGTGATGACTGGAGCGATTCCAAAATATGTTTGATAGGTGTGAAAGGATGATTTGAAACAAGGGAGTACAGAGATTTGAAAAGGTAACAAAGAAAATTACTTAGCCCAAAGGAGGGGATGGGCCAAAATCAGATCGCACAGGGTATGGGGAAACAGGCACGTAGGCAGGAGGGCCAAGTACTTCCTGATCGTTTATTGACAAGCTGGGCAGAACAAAATGAGCCTATTGTAGCCCACCGGGGGCAGGGCTGGATCGGGAAAAAGGGCCTGTGTTGGGGCAGCACGGAGTAGGTGGGCGGAAAGAGTGTTAACTCTCAGTACCCAATTAGCCAATCAGGGGAAAGGAGGAGGGAACAAGCCGCTGGGAGCAGGGTTCAAAAGGGGTGTGTGAACATGTGCTCAGGTGAACAGAAAAGTGGGAAAGAAACCATTCCTTTCTGTTCCCTTCATTGCAATAAAGTTTTAAAAAGAACTCTCTGCATGCCTGGAATAACTCTTCCGATGGAAAGGAAAGAGTGATTATAACACGTTGAAGCATTGGATGAAGTGGACTGTGACTGAAAATTTATGCCAAATTAAATCTGTTGTGCCACAAAACTCTTAGTTATTTTGACTAAAAGTAATTACATCTAAAATCTACACCTGGGTGATGCCTGTATTAGACCAAACACAGACTTGGGTTCTGTTTCCTTTTCACGTTTTTAAAATGAACTTTGTTCCAGTGACCAGGTTCTGCAACTCAAGCCCTGTTTACTTAGACGTAAATCTCTCTGGGCCCAGTGGAAATTCTTCCTAAGTAAACATGCTGATATCAAACCACTGTAGCCCATGGAGTGCAGTCTTTAGCTTGCAAAATAGCTTGGCCGTGTTAGCATAACACGAATAGAGCTGTGGCATCAAGCAAACATCACAGAGGGAGAGAGCCTGCCCATTTCTTGGATTGCCTGGGCAACCAAGACTAAGTTTCACTACGCAGTTCTTTGCTGGGCCTTAGGTGCTGGTTTAACAATCAGCAAAACAGCCTCAAATTTATTCTTAAGCATAGATATTGGTCTGATAAATTCTCTACAGTGTTTTCAAGTGAAATTAGCCAATTTCATGATGATTTTTTGGTAGAATCGTTTTTGTGGGCCAGCCCTAATCAGCACCCATATGCACTCTAATTGAAAAGAGGATTGATATTTATTTATTTATTTATTTATTTACAAGAGCTGAGCAGAGCTGTGAAGGTCACGACATTTTGCGGGGCATTCATTGATAGGGCTGTTGTCAGCTGGAGATGTCTAGATGGTACGTAAGGACAACAAGCAGCAACACTTTTATCAGTCCTAAATAAATTTATTCTGCAGTAAATAGCTCCAGAATCTCTTGCAAAGCTTGCTTCTTTTCAGGGTTATGAAAGGGGTGAATGGTCTGGCCTCAAGCATATTCCTGCTGGGTGACTTGTTGCATTTAGGGACAGCCACAGAAAAGGACCATATTTTGCACTTTTGCAGAATGAAATCCTAAGGAAGCCAAATGATAAACAGGGCATCTTGAGAGAGCCAGGAGATCATGGTGAGAGATTCCAGACAGTAGCCTGGCTTCTATAGTAATTATGACAATTTTTACATTCAGCTGAGTTCAGGAACAGGCAGGAAGTAAGTCGAGTTGAATCAAGAGTTGGGGTGATGGGTTATATCCAATCTACGGGTTATAGCTAATACTTGGCCATCTGCCAGCAGAACAGAAATAGCTGAGAGAAGATATGTGCCCTCCCACCTGCAGCCCTCCGTGCACCCTCACATCTGCTCCGGAGGGTTGAGGTAAGCTGTGGAGAAGATCTGGGGGTTGTTCAATGGGATGCAGAGGGAAAGGAGATCACTGGAAAATTCCATGGCACAACTGGGCTTCTGCCCATGCAATGCTAGATTGAAACCTGTTTGCTCCTAGCAATCAATGAGTCACAGTATTCTGCATTGGTTCTAGCTCTGGAATATTTTCCAGGGCATCTCCAGATGAAACATGTTTTGGCCATTAGGATAGTAGAGTTTGATGTAACAAAATTAGATCAATCACTGTACCTTTTCCACTTCTGCATCTACCTTGGTTTCTTTTTATGCTTTCGGTCAACTCATGCAAGCACATAGATACAATGAATGGCTGAATGCAGCACTAAAGTGTACGAAAACCTCTAGGGTAATAAGCCTTCTGCAGCTAAAAAAAAAAAAAAAAAACCCAGTTCTTGAAATAAATGAAGAAGATTGGAATTCAGCAGCAGGCTGGAGCTGCCACAGAAGTTCCCCCAAATGGGCCAGACTGTGCCACTGGTGGTGCAGCTGATGGCCTGCCGAAGAGCAGCAGCAGGCGGCAGGATTGGCACGCTGTGCACAGGCAATCCGCCACTTGCCGGCTCGCGGTTGTGTGCCACCAGGCCAGCTGCTCCATGCGCACAGGGCTAACTGAAAGGTGGGGCCTGGACGCAGAGCCAACAGGCACACGCCGGTCCCCCTTTATAGGCCAACGCTCCTTCAGCATTCGTCCCCCAGAACTCTGGGCCAGGAAGCCTGGGGGCAAACTGTTCACCGTGATGGCAAGCGGCAGAGGACCAAAGCTGCTCCTCTCCTCCTGCCCTCCTTTTCCCACCTCAGTGATTTTCTCTTGCGGAGAGCTCCGGGGGAAAGGCACTCAAGCATTTTCGTGTGCCTTAAATTCCTACATGTGTGGGTGTGTTCTGCTTCAGTCAGCTTTACAGGACTCCTGCTTCAATTCAGGCACCATCTGAATCTTTCTGAATCGTCCTGTTTCAGTTCAAGAAGTGGTCAAATCCAAAGCTTACCTTTCTTAAACAACTTAGCAAGTGAATGACTGCACACAGACTGATGTGTTTCTTCTTGTGAGATGCAAAAATAATGGGGTAAGAGGAAGAAGAATAGCAAGATAAAACGTTATGCTGGCAACAGAGAGGAGTGCAATGGTAAGGCAAGCTAGCCCAGTACATTGGCCAGGAAAGGAAATAGCTGCATGGTGCTTATTTTGCCCTTCCTTGCCAGAAAGAACACCTCAAAAAGCATTTAGATTAAGAAAGAGTACCTTGAGTTTGCTTCATTCTCTTCCCTCCCAGTCAATGTTCCTTTTTTATGATATCTTTTTGATTGTAAGCCTGAGGGCAGGGACAGACCTTTGTAATGTATTTATGGAACTTTTGGGGTCTGAAGAGTGGGCTACAAATACTGTATATAAATGGACAGGAAAAATCACTTTTATGCCCCCCCACATTAAATTATGGGAAATTTTGCCAAATGTTTTTAAATTT